GTAGATACAGACCAGATTGTAGATTTGATAGGAAGTTTGTAATTGACACTTTTTGGTGGTGGCCAGCATGCCCTTAATGCTGAAGAATACAACCTTACCAGTTTCAAAAAAAAAAAAAAAAATAAAAAAAAAAAAAAAAAAACCCTTCGGGGTGGTCCAGTGGTTTGAGATTGGGACTTCCATTTTGGAGGTCTCAAGTTCGAAACCCCTTGCCAACGAAAGCGGTTTGCCTTCTGGGTCGAGTTCGTCGCACCAGGCTTGCCTAGTGCGGGTTACCTCTCCTGTGTGGTTTGCGAGCTATTGCATAGGAGCGGGGGTTTTACCCTGTGCGCACCCAAAGGATAGCGGCTGCGGGTTTTCCCTTGTCATAAAAAAGAAATAAAAAAAAAAGAAAAAAAGAATGTGCCTAATAAATTTAAACAAAAACAAATTAAAAAGAAGAAATGGAATAAAAGGAAAAAATAATGAAAAAGAAGAAAAAGGTCGAAGCCCAAAAGTTCCATTTTCCAAAGCATTAAAAAGAGGGAAAAAATGTTGCCCGTGGGATTCGAACCTGCGACCTAGGGGCATATCTTGAACCACTTAATCATTGAGCCAAGCCTGTACTTTGTTTTTAGGGGGTTCATTTTAATATATATACCATTAAAATCAGAATTTGACGTTGTATATATAGTGTAATTTTTTGATGAGGGGGTTCGGGTGAACCCCCTAGGGTCTACCTAGATTTGCCCCTGGTGACAAGTATCCCATGGAATTAGTTGAGGTGCGTGAAAGCTAGCTCAAAGCCTCAGACACCACGGTCATCAAAAAAGAAGAAAAGTATAGTGGATATGCTTAAATTAGGATACCCTGGTAGTATTTGCCTCAAAACTGTGTTACAGGTTCTAAAAATATTTCTTCATTGTGTTGCAGGGTGAAAGGTTAAGGCGGAGAAATGACTGGTTTCATTGGCTCATGCCGCCATCAGTTCAGAATTCAACCGTGTCAAGTCCTCAATCTCTACCAAAGTCTACTTCTGATTTACTTGTAGAAAATCTCCAACGTGTTGCATTTGATGATAAGACTGTAACACATGGAAATGTCGAAGCACGTCTTAGTAGATCATCATCTGCTGAATTAAGTACTCCATCTAACTAGTGTGGCAATAAGATGGCTGGACAAGCTGGTGCTCAACATTCGCATCCAATGCCCAGTTCCAGTTGTAAATCCAAGTTAAACGAGTTAACTTTTATGTCGACCAGGGGTTGGAAGCTATTGTGCTTCTTCGTGCAATCAATGAGTTTAGTCTTTACATTTGGTGATGGCAATGACGTCTCATGAAGGAAAAAGACAGGGAATAAAAGAGAAGAAACAGAATTGGGAATAGAATTATAATGACTTTTAAGCAAAAGCTTGTAGCTTGATTTTGTTGGGATGTATATCTTGTTTTGTTTGGGATTTAGTATTTTGTTTTCCTTTTATGTTATGTTTTTCCTCTGTCATGGTTATTTATTATACAGGTAGGGGGAATTTTGCATTCTACTTCCCCATGCAGCCCCTCAGCATTATTTTTTAAAACCAAAATCTTTGGGGCTAGGTCACTTCATCTTTGGAGGAGGTAAAGCTTACTGAAAGCTATGCTGGCTTCTGATTTTTCATCTTCCTGATAAAGGAGGGAGAATGGTCTTGCTGGATCTGCTGTGAAGACTTGTGGGCACATGATTATCTTGTAATTTCTCTCTGTTTGTTTCAAACATAGCGCCATTGATGACTTTTTTTTATATTTATACCTTTTTATTTCCCTTGCCAAAACTTAATAAGCATCTTTATGTAAGGAAACTATATATACTTGTGTGCTGTTGATTTATTGAATCATTCGTGATTATCTTACTGCTATACAAGTTAAAACATGTAAAAAGATTTCATATAATACACGTATGAAACATCAAAAGGAAATTCATGAAGAAGCCCCTGAAGTTTCTGTGTGAGAAATAATAAAAGAGATATCATACAAGCTCAGGCTAAGGAGATGGATGATCCTTCAAGTACTACTACTCAGGCAAAAGCAATGACACTTTTACATGCTTTAAAGTATATAGAGTAACCTCATGTGATCATAAAAATTGGTTCTTTGTTACTTAAGAATATTGTTGAAAGTACCATGGAAGGTAGTGAATATTTTAGAGGAAATATGGAGGCTCATGCAAGGAAAAATGGTTGGTGATAGTATTACACACTTTCAAATAATTTGACCGACTATCTAGCTAACCTAGCCCTAGATAAAGGGTTGTTTAAGTAAATTGTTTTCAGGAATTAGAAGCTCACGGTAGGGTGATAGTGAACAATGATAACAAATACAATCTATGTGTTCATCCGTTAGCTTTAAGGGCATACTCAACTCAAAAGATTGACAATAAGGATATATATAACCTTAAAATATAACAAAGTGTATTCACATACCATTATGATTGCATGATGATATTATTTTTTTTGATTATTTTATCTATTATCATAAAATTATTATTCTATCAAGAGACAAAAATAGCTTATCCAATACTAACTATAATTCTTGAAATAAAATATTTCACACTTTAAAATCAAACAAAAATTAAGGATACTAAAAATTTATATCAAAATTATCTCAATTTATCCATTGCACCAAACTTGTCCTAAGGGGTCGTTTGGTAGGCGGTAGCTAGTTAGAGTTATGAAGATATTAAAAATTAGTTATGACTGAATTTATGTATCATTTTATGGAGGAATTAGTTATTCATGTATTAGTTAATATCATGTGTACGAGTGAAGTGTCAAAAATACACTATTCGTTTTATACTTAAAACTATAAGATGTGGGAGAAACATACCTCAAGTAATATGTAATGGTTTGTGTATCAACTCTCTTTTTAAAATAAAAAATTATCACATGAAAAATAATTTTATTGTGACAAGACATAACTAACACATGTAACAATTCCGACTAAAAATATAAACAGAAACACATAACTTTACTTTTTAAAAATCAATTGAAAATTTAAGAAAAAGAATGTGTTAGCAAAAAAAAGAAAAGGAAGCCACGTGGATGAAAATTTAAGGTCCAATCAACGTTGAGGTGTGTTTCTCGCACTTTCAATAATTTAGGTATGAAACTAAAAATAATTAGATAGTTTGAATATGTTTTTGACACTTAATAAAAAAAGTGTCAGCAAACAAAAAAAAAGTCACGTGAACGAAATTTTGGGCCAAACGTGCCTGAGCATGTGTGTGCACACATTTGGTCCAATCAGTATTGAGGTGTTTTTATTCAAACTAATGAGTGATAGATTAGGTGTGTTTTCACACTCTCAATAGTTTAGATATGAAACTAAAAATAATAGGGATAATATGTGTGTTTTTGACACTTAACTCATTTCATGCTTAATAACTTATTTCTTATCTACCTATCAAACGTTGTATAAATAATACGAAAATCAATACATAAATAACGTGTTTCTTATCCGACTACTAAAAGAGACTCTAAAGGGGTTGTTTGAGAACATGTTATCATGTGATTAATTATCTCGAGCACGCCTAGTGATTAATGAAGTGATTGAAAATCCTGATGTCTTAGCTTCAAAGCTCAATAGAGACAATAAAAAAAGCGACACTAAGGGCCCGTTTGGCCATGCGATATGGTATCATGATATGGAATCATGAGATGAAATTGAAGGTTTGTTTGGACATGCGATATATAATTTTTGTGTTGTATATTTTCTCATAAACATAAAAATTTCATAAGTTGTAAAACTATTAAAATAGCCCCAATTGTTTATTCAATCTTATCAAATAAACAAAAATTATAAAATCGCATAATAAATTATTACAAAGTTATTTGTTCTTCACTTAAGTAATTGTTTCATCTAACTTTAATTTAATTTAAAAAAATTGAACATAAATTGTACTTGATATGCTCATATCTCTCAACTACTCTTACAAATAACCTATAAAGTAGAAAAAAAAAGCATGCATTAGTAAGTAAATATTAACTTAGAAGTTAAATACACTAAGATAAAAATTAACAAACATCACTGACTTCTAACTATTTACAAGAAAAATCAATAGTTAAGAATAACGAAATTTTAAAAAGTTACCACAAGTTTGAGTCAAAAACACTTCTAATAAAATTTAATCAAAAAAATTATAACTAGTCCACTTGACTAAATATTAATAACTAATTGATCAAATTTTCCCAAGTCCTCAATCAATTGGACTTGATATTCTTCAGTCATGTGAACGAACATTTTGCAAATACTAAGATTAAGAAAGTGCGGCACCGCCAATGAAAATTGTCTTTTATCAATATTATGCTTAGTCATAAGATTAAGACGTTTTTTTATTATTATGAAAAATCAAAAAAGTATTACTCCCTTCGTTCTTATTTATATTCACCAAATGAATTTCTACTTTATCATTTATATTCACCAAATTTAAAGTAATAATAAATTTTATATTGGTGAGAATAATAAATTTTAAAAAGTAATGATGTGATTATAAATTTTATTTACATATGAAACAAATGGTTAGTAGATATAAATGTGGGGTTGTTTTAACAAAATATAAACTCATGGATCAATTATTGTATATTAAAATATATCAAATCATGGTTTTTGGAGAATATGGTATCATCTCTCATGATATGGAATCATGAGATGGAACCAACATAAAATTGCATGTCCAAACGCTGATTTCATCTCACGACACCATATCGTGATATGGTATCGCATGGCCAAACGCCTACTAAGTGATTCTTTCCATCTATCCTAGTCCTAGCTTTGGTGGATAGAATTATCTGGTACTTATATTTCATGAAATTAGTTAAGGTGCGAGTAAATTAACCAAAACATCATGATGATCAAATTTTTTTTATCTCTATATTATAAGTATTGAAATAAGTAATTTAAAAAATAGCTAATATCTTCAAACAAGAATAAAGTAATTCTATATTTTATTTTTGACCTTATACCTCACGCAAAAAAAACTAGAAGGGATTAGTTGCCAGCTTGGAGACGGTGAAAGTACTTTTTCAGTGCAAGTAGAACTTTAGGGTAGGGGTTTCTCTACTGCTAAGCAAAGAAGAAAATACAGCATAGGGAGGAGAGAGAAAAAGGAGAGAGAAAGCTCGTCTCTCTCAGCCCTTTGTTTGTTTGTTTGTTTGTTTTGGAGCTCTGGTGTTGAGCACAGTGATCGTCAAGATCATCTTTTATTGTTTTTATAATCAGTTATACACTGTAACTTTTATTTGCATTCATCGATTCCTTTGATGTATTTTAATGCTAAATCTGTTAGGCTCTGTAGAAAATTTTGATCGATTCAATATTTTGTTTACTTGTTGTTAAGGAATAGTCAATCAACTAACGGATTTTCAGGTATAGAAACACTAATTAGAAGCCGTCTTCGATTTTTGGAAGTTTTTGATTCCGTATAAACAAACCCTAGTTTTTATGGCTACATCTACTACTGGCCCGGTTCATAACTCTCACCGGAATACTACATCGGAAACCGGTGGTTCCAACCGCCAACAGGAGTCTCCGCGATCATCAGCCACGCGTGGCGTTTCCTCTCCATGGAAGCAGGTTGTTCGCATTGGTGAATCAGAATCTACCATTGCGGTGACCTCCTCTTCACCTCCACTTTCTCCTCAGGGGTCTTGTGAGCAAGACGTTCACTCCTCTGATTGTTCGCCTCCTGAACAAGTGGCGACAGCCGATAGTGCGTCTTCGTTAGATGCCACTACAGAAGCTCAGATTGAGAACTCCGATAATGGAAGCAGTGACGGCACCAACGGCAATGGAGCTAAAAAGCAGGCTTGGAATAAACCCTCAAATGGTGCAGCCGATCTTAGTCCTGTTATGGGTGCTGTCTCTTGGCCTGCTCTCTCTGACTCCACCAAGGCTTCACCTAAATTATCTTCTTCTTCTTCTGATTTACTCAAAACTCCGTCTAGATCAGTTTCTCTATCACAGGTTATTCCACATTCCTCAATGCTACTTTTCTCTAACTGATTTTTGGAATTGAGGATTAATATAGCTGATACAAACTACCTTAGGATTGAAGTGCACTAATTGCGGTTGTTTTTGCTCTATCTGCTGCTTGGCTCTCGTTTTATAATGTGTCCAATATATTGATCATTTATTTGTCTGGTTATGCTTGCACATGCTAGGGCCCCGGGATGGCATCAGCTTCTCATAGGCAATCTAATACTAACAATGTAAACCCTGATACAATGCTGAACCATGTTGTACCCAGCCGCCAAAGGTCTATGAAGCGCGGTGGTGGTAATTCAAACCATAATGCATCAGCGAATGGTGTCTTTTCTTCACAGCAGGCCCAAGGTTTTGAGGTGGAAACAGTCCTTAATAATTCTGGGAAGACAGGTAATTCTGGTGTTGAGTCTTCTTCAAGGGATTATAGTCATAGGGATGGTGGACAATGGGGAGGATTTGGAGCTCAATCACATGGTGGAATTGACCACCAACATCAACGAAATGCAAATAGGAGGGGCAATGTTGGTCCACATCCCCGTGGAGATGGCACATATCAGAATGGTTACGGGGGTAGGCGTGATCAGGAACGTCGAAATCAGGATTGGAAACCTCACAGAGGTTGGGTGAATAGGGATGCACACATGCAGCCGCACAGAGGTCCAGCTAGGCCATATATGGGGGCCCCACCTCATACGTCTCCACCTTTTATACCAACGCCCATTCCTGTGCAGCCCTATCGACCTCCCATGGTTTACTCTGGTGAGATGTTTTACTTATCGAGATCTTTTTTCTGAGTTATTAAACCCCATTTTGTGTCCCTACTGATACTTTAACCAATATGCAGAAGTTCCATCGGTATTTTATTTGCCAGGTCCATTCCCTGATTCATTCAGAGGGCCTATGTTTTCTCCTGTGCCCTTCTTTCATGTTCCAGATACCCAGTTGCATACTAGAATAGTGAACCAGATGGATTATTATTTCAGGTAGATACATCTTTGTTCTATTTGCTTGTAATTGCTCTTATTTAGTGGCTGCCTTAACTGTATTGGTATTCTAAAGTCGTCTTGTCCCTAAATTTTGTTGCAGTAATGAGAATTTAATTAAGGACACATTCTTGCGACAGAACATGGATGAACATGGATGGGTTCCGGTTACACTAATCTCAGGCTTCAAGAAAGTGAGTTGGTTGGAGTGTTCTCTTGACCCTTAGTTCATGGCTAATATTTTCAGCTGTATTAGTAGCTCATGCTTTTGAAAAAGCATCCCCACATATTAATTCACGTTATTGCTGGTATTGTTAATAGTGTTGCTGAGCATGGTTAATGTACAGACATCCTGATATGATGTTTTTGTACTTGATCCTTTGGAGTTTCCTTCTCTGTTTGTACTTTTTTTCTGGTGCCAAGGGTGAGTCTCCTTAGTCTTCTGTAACAACTTGTTTTTGAGGTTCTTAGGGTTATTTTCAAGATTTGGGCATAAAATCCGTGAGAGAGATCCATACTCTTATTAAAAAAATCAGTGGGAGAGAGCCATGGTAGTTAGTAGTTCATTTCAACTGGAGGTCTCCTAGTCTCTAATTCTCTATCTCTCTTATCGTTGTTGCCTTTTCTCTGTTACAAGTTTTACTGGAGGAAAAAAGGTAAAATTAATTCTAACTCCTTCCTTAGGAAAAAATCCTGCATTATCCGAACTAGTCGGGGTGGAACGCTTGTAGAGTTGCATGATCTTGTCCCTCTTTCTTCTACAGTTCCATGATATGACCAGGTAGTTGTAAGCAAATGAGTGGATTTGATCATTCTATGGTATAATTTATGTCATGTTGGGCTTTGTCCAGATATTCTTTCCAAGTATTAATGTTCATTGTATTTATTTGGAGTTGGAGTCACTACTCACTAGATTGAAATGCTTATGCATCATGAGCAGAAAGTCATGTCAGCACAAGAAATGACTGTTTGTACATCAAATTGCTGGATTAACCAATGTTCTAACTTCTACGTATAATGTTATAACTGTGCAATGTGAAGTGAGTGCCTGTTTGATGGGATGGTAATGAGTGCAATATGTGAATGTTCCCTGCTACAAGGTGATCTGGCCACAGTAGGTTGTAGGGTCCAGCCTGCTTTTGTTGAATTGTTGTTGTCCAAGGAGTATTAACTTAAAAAGGCAATCTTACCTCAAAGATATTGACAGCTTAGAATCATATGAAGGGTTGTCTAAATATGTGAGAAGTGAAGAGATGTATTGAGGACTTGATGAAAATGGAGATCAACAGCTGGTGTTCTATCTGTATAATAGTGTTGTTTGTGATAGTTCTTTGAAATTTTTGCTGCATCACAGTGACATACGTTGGATGATTATTCTTTCGGGGTCGAGTTGAAGGTGGATGGAGAAGTCTGTAGATATCCTTTCAGATCAATGATTCTTCTGTATAACTCAGAGTAACCTCACTTACATGCATGCCTTTAGCATTCTTTTTGTGGTAACTTTGTTTGCTGTGATAAACTTGGCCTATTTTGGCCTGCCAAATTTCTGTACATACCGGTTGTACACTATACAATAAAATCATTTTTTTTAATGAATTCCTATTCTAATAGAGGGCATAGGTGGTTTGTGAAAGAAATTTTGGTCATATAAGAAGCAGAATTTGTGCTTGTGGAGATTGTCGAGTAAATGGAGATGAAAAAGAAAACCTGAAATTTTGTGAACAATACGGAGTCTAAATGAAATTAGTTGAATGTAATAAAAAAAATGAAGACCAAAAAATACTCTTATATCGATTTATGGTTCCACATTTCATTTTATGCAATTAAATACGTCGAACAGTTTTAAGATAAGAACCACTTTTTTCATTTTTGCAGGTAATGGAATTGACAGATAATATACAATTGATACTGAATGCTGTGAGGTTCTCTACTGTTGTAGAAGTGCAGGTATCCTTTCTATATGTGGTTTGTGGTCTATTTAGACTTTTAGGGGTCGCTTGGTGTGAGGGATAAAAATAAATAGTCATGGGATAAAATTTTTGTGTCTTGTTTGGTTGCCATGTTTGGCACAACTTATCCCACCATTTATACCATAGTGGTGGGATAAGCTACCCATATACATGGTGGGATAAGTCATCCTAGGATAACTTGTTCCCAACCAAACGACCCCTTAGTCTCTACTTTCTCTGGCCAAAAAGAAAGGGTTCACTATGTGTTATTTGAGTTTTTGGCGAAGTGCTTGTGTTGCTAAAGAATGGAGCACTTGTTGAAGACGTTAGAGATGTGAGCACGGAGTCTTGTGTACACCTAGAGTCTGTTACCCTTGTAAATGATTTTTAAGAATTCAATAGCCTTATGCATTGCCCACCATGTTCTTTGATGTAGGTCTTCTAGAAACAAAATTATGATTTGTAATTCATCCTTGTTAATGTGTCCTACGCTCACAGTTGCTGCTGTTTGAATTATATAGTGTTTGTTTGCTGTTGTCCTGAGCTGATTGAGATGTTTAGTGCTTCAGAACTAGGAAATTGCTTGATGTCCCAACCATGAAAATACTTTGGTAGTATTTGCATCTACACTCTTGCATGGGCCTATTTAGGCATTTAGTGTTTCATAACTAGGAGCACTTTTAAGAGTATTTGTAAAGTATTTGCCTCAAAAACTGTTACAGTTTCTAAAATATTTATTCCTGGTGTTGCAGGGTGAAAAGTTAAGGCGGAGAAATGAATGGTTTCATTGGCTCCTGCCGCCATCGGTTCAAAATTCAACTGTGTCAAATCCTCAATCTCTACATAAGTCTACTCCTGATTTACTTGTAGAAAATTTCCAACGTGTTGCATTTGATGATAAGACTGTAAGACATGGAAATGCCGAAGCACATCTTAGTAGATCATCATCTGCTGAATTAAGTACTCCATCTGAGCAGTTTGGCAATGAGATGGCCAGACAAGCTGGTGGTCAACATTGGCAGCCAATGCCGGTTGGAAATCCAAGTTAAAGAGTTAACTGTTTTGTGGCCCCAGGGTTGGTGGCTATTGTGCTTCTTAGAGCCATCGATGAGTTTAGTCTTTACTGTTGCTGTTGACAATAGCGTCTCATGAAGGAATTAGACAGGGAATAAAAGAGAACAGAATTATAATGTCTTTTGAGCTGGCAGCTTGATTTTGTTGGGATAAGTATTATCTTTTCCTTTATGTTACGTTGTTTGTCTGTTGTGGTTGTTTATTAATACAGGCACGGGGAATTTTGATTCTACTTCCCCATGCAGCCTCTCAGCATTATTTTTAAAACCAAAGCCTTTGGGGGGCTAGGTTACTTATCTTTGGCGGAGGTAAAGGTTATGGAAAGGAATGGAATTGCTGGCTTCTGATTTTTTTTTTTTCTTCCTGAGAAGCAGAGAGAATGAATGATCTGCTGTGAATGCTCTTGTGGGCACATTTATCTTGTTATTTTCTTTCTATTTGTTTCAAACATAGCACCACCATTGACTCTTTTCTTATATTTATTATTATACCTTTTCAAAAAGAGGCATTTGTTGCCCTTGCAAAACTTAATAAGCATCTTTATGCTTGGTTGTGATGTATTGGTTTCTTTTCTTTATAATGAGAAATACTTGTGTGCATTGGGGATATGTTATTGATGTATCTGTTATTTACCTGATAGTAGTAGGTATACAAGTTAAAACATGTAAAAAGGGTTGGTTGGTTAATGAATATCTTTGTGTGATCAGCGAAGGGGAAATGGGAAATGGTACTGAGATCGAATTTCATCGCCACCCAATGGTTTTTTTAAAAGTTGATTGAATCAAATCGCACCGAACTGATTTTTAGGTTTCTTTTAATAAAATAGACTACTTTTATATAAATTTATAATCGTGCTGAATAATTAGCTAGGTTTATATTTTATAAAATTTAATAAAAAATATTGAGTTGTATCAACTAATATGTGATTTAAAATAACAAATTGTTAAAATCATTGATTTAGACTTAAAGATAATGGAAGTGACAATATAATTAACACTCAAAGTCCTAACACCTTCTAACAAGCTACAAGTTGTTGCATATTGTTTCTCTCTTATGATTTAAATTTCTTTTATTGAATACTTAAGTAGACTCCGTTTTTGAGTTTCAGTTTGATTGATTTCTTTTTGTACGTGTGATCTAAATTATGTTGTCTTTGCTTAATATTGATTTACACTATCATAATACAATGAGATGGATCTTTATTCTTGTTTTCTTCACTTGTAAAACAACAGAATTATACAAATATCTGGAATTTTTTTTGCCAAAATCATATACAGGTAGATATGATAGCATATTTTAACTTATAAATATATATATATATTAGAAATATTGAAATTAACCGTCCATACCGATATTGAAGAAAAACAAAAATCATGGAGCGATTTTCAAAAGTCTAATTTGGTTAAATAAAATAACCAAAAAAACAACGATATGGTAATATCATAAAATAACTGAAAACACCGATAAGGTATAAATATCATAAAATAACCGCTTAAACTGTACCATTTGCAAACCTATAATCAACAGATGCAGTTGAAAAACCGACCAAATTCGTGGGTTTTGTTATTTTTGATGAAAATCGATGAACCCTTGTCGATTTTTTTTCCCGCACAAAAATTATAAAAAAGATTTAAATTTTATTTTGAAAGAAAATCAAAGAGAGCCTCAAATTTTATTATTTTTTACTTAAACCTAAAGACTCCATAAGTTTTTGAAGCGCATAATTGCATTCAAAAATTAAAACAAAAATAATGAAAATATTCAATTAAAGAGTATGTGTGGTTTAGTAGCAGAGAATTGTTCAATGTCATAGTAAATATTTGGATTTTATTCCTAGTAATTACATTTTCTTTATATATATTTCTGAAAAACTAACATTATCCTTCGATTTTTTTTAAAAAGTTCTATGTTACTTTTTAATTTATTAAAAGTGACGTACTCCTTCAGTTGTCTCTCAATTTTAACCGATTTTATTCATCAATTTTTAGACACCGACCCAAATCAAACTAATGATGTACAATCCATCAATTTGACGTTAATTTTTCTTTAAAAATATTTGAGGAATTCCATTAATTTCGATCCTCGATTTTTACACTAATTTTAGTAGTGCTTCTTCTATTCACAACAGAGTAGGCATCATTTTCATTTTTATTTCCATTCACTCATCTCATGAGTCATGACCACACTCATTCCATTGTCGATATGCCTTGATTTCATCTTGACCAATAACAAAGCCCACTTCCTACTTTTTTGGGATTTTTTAAACGAATTTCATAGTGTTAAGAACTAATTATATTTTATCTTTTTTCTTTTCTAAATTACAAAAATCTCTTAAATTTGATGAAATCCAGATACATCTCAAAACATCTCGATACATTGTGTCCCGATTTTGAATACATCACGTCTCAGTTTCGAATGCATCACTCAATGTAACGACCTGCTCCCGTCGTTATAAAAAAGCCAACGGGGGGAAATTTGGGGCTGGAAAACTTTTTTTTGTAGTATTTGGATTTTCCAACCTTGTCTAGATTTGGACGAAATCAGAGTCATTGAGGTGTAGGGAAAATCCGGTAACAATCGGGTGAATCATTTATGTATTTTGATTACATGAGTAGTTAGATAACTCGTTAAGGAATCCGTACGACTTTACATAATTGAATTCGGGCGAGTAGAACTCCCGGAATCGATCTTAGCGTAAAGGGTATTTACTGAGCATCGTGGGTTAGAGGTGTGTTGTGAAATGGGAATTTTGGAGTTCTTGAAATAACTCTATGTTTCGCTTTGGCGGGGATTTTTGCCGCTCTGGCGTCGTCGCTGTGGCGGGCCTGACGCGAATTAAAGTCGTTATTAAACCCTTAAACGACCTCATTATGCACTTTTCGACTTTTAGAGCTAAGGAACGACCCCCAGTCGACTTATACTCATTTTTCACTATTCTTGAGGCTAAAGGTAAGCTTTTCACTCTCCGAATCTATTTTTTGATCCGTAGAACGTAATAGAATGGGTGAATATTGATGGGGGGGGGGGTT